CATGGTATTGACTTGGGTGGTGAGTTCAGTGGTTTGTTGATTAGCTTTGTTGTTGGATTTTATAGTGACCTTTTGCTGTTCCTCTAAGAATGTGTATAGATTTCTTGACATCGAAAAAAGGCGACTTCAAATAATCTTAACTGGATGAGTTTTTTTGGCGTTTTCATCTTCTTGCTTTGTTAATTCAACAACACAGGGTTAAAAATGTGGATCAGATGAAGTTGTTGGCTCAATTGTTTCAGGTTTTTTTCAGTCGTTGTCATTCCTTAGAATGTCGTTGTTGATTAGGGTGTTGCAAGTTGAGAGGAATGAGGATGGGTATATGTTATTGATATAGCATCGGTTTATGGTAATATGGTTACGATTTTGAAGGTTTATGCTCTATCGGAAAATGTGAAGTGTAAAAATAAAAATTGTTGTGGATTTGTTTTCGTTTTTTAAGGTATAGTATGTGATCGTTGGTGCAAAGTGGGGATTTTAATTGTCCCCTCTGTATGTGTGTGCCGTTTGGGATGTTGGTTGTGAATATATTGAGGGTGTTGTGGGAAAAATCCTTGCAGGGAATTAATTGTTTTTTATTAAATTTTTTGTTACTTGAATATTGTATTATTATTATGATAAGTAGACTGTATATTTTGATTCAGCCTGCCAGAATCTTATCTCCACATAGTTACATAGTTGGAAGGACAATTGCCACTTATACCACCTTGAAGTGGATAATTGATAAATGGCAATTGTTTACCTAATCTTTATAAAATTATACCACATATGGTGGCCTAATCTACTAATATTATGAATACTACTACTCAACAGTTTTAAATAACATGTATAGGCCTTAGCTGAGTGGTTGAATTGGTCTAATTAGGCTAGTTATTATTTTTCCATCAGATTAGGGTGTGCCATGTGCCTCAGGGTGCATAAAATGGCGGCCTAGCACAGAGGTGTTGGTGTACAGTTAGAGTAACAAGAAACATCACTGTTTGTGGGCCAGCTCAGCTTGCAATTATTCCCAATCACATATTACCTGTAAAAAAGTTAAGGCTGTAAGAATTGCTCATTAACATATAAAGCACAGGTGTGACATGGAATATTTGTGTGTGTAGTAAAAAGTAAACTCACTTTGTTTGTGCAGCCGCGTCTAACAGCCTGGTTGATCAGTCCAGCAACCAGGAGGCCTGGTCGACGACCGGGCCGCGGGGACACTAAGCCCCGGAAGCACCTCAAGGTAGCCTCAAGGTAGGTTACATAGTGCACATTACTAATAAAAGAATATAAGGCAGTCGGATACTCAAGTACTCCTGTTCTTGAGGGTTTGCTGTGGCAGTTCACTAGGATAGAGTAAGTTTTCTATCGTGCGTGACGTGTGTCGCAATTCTCAAGGAGCTCTTGTTTCGTGCCTGTGTTTACAAGTTCAGTGATGTACGTGACGCCAGCCTCCCTCCCCAGGGGTGACGTCCTAAAATGTTTTGCTGGTTCTATTTATGATTTCATTTAAAAGTAACAAGACAGCTAAGCTATACTTTGTTGTGTATTTAATTATATTCAGTCCAAGTGAATATTATTTTATTAAGTTTAAACACTAGACTGAAGTTTTAAAAGAAATGAGATATAATATTTTACGTGTTGTGTGATGACGTCACGAAATCCCATTCTCTGATTTTTTATGGGGTAACTATAATGTTAACGTGTGTGTCGGATTTCCGACAGTTGTTGGCTAACTTGATTAGAGTGTATAGATTTTCGGGATGTGACTCTGGTACCTCCTGGGCTGGTGACATTCACACATCGATCTCACACGAGTGCGACTAGGTTAGATTTGATTAACATTCACAGGTTATCGTGTGAGGTTCGTGAAACACGAATGTTGCCAATCACCTTTATGTATCATTGTTTGGTGCTAGATAGCTTGTCTAGGTTCGGTATGGATAACTATGGACATAGCTGGTGGAGGCTGAACTGTGGCTTGCTGAATAAAAGTAATGTTCTTTGGGAGTTTTGAGTGTTGTGCCATTTGCTATGATATAGGAAGAAAGAGTTACATTATGTGTTGGATTGGTGGGACTGTTAAAGTTGAATGTCGGAAGTAACTTCATACTCATTCGAAACGAGTGACTGGAGATTAGTACAGGATGAACAATGTGTATGATGCAATGTCAGTTGGAGCAGTTACACTGTACTGTCGATGCTGGTAGTGAGTGTTTTGATGAAATTTCCTTGCATGAAGAGTGACTAGCGAAATTGAGGCGAAAACTTACCCGGATCTTACATAGAGAGGATTCTGGGAGTTCTTCTTCTAGCATGCCCGGCCTGAAGCTAGGCTTGACTTGTAAGAGTTAGATCTAACAAATTGTTGTTTGAAGCGGCTTGCAGGTCAACATATCTACTACAGCCTGTTTGGTGCGGTACTTCTTACAAAAAACTGTCAATTTTTTTCTTAAATATTTCCACATCAATTCTGGCAATATTTCTTACACTTGCTGGGAGGATAATGAACAACCGTGGACTTCTGATGTTCTTGCAGTGTTCTCTAATTATGCCTGTGGCATCTACTACTGCATATCCTGCCAAGTCGTTCGCTTTAATATGTTGTTATTTTACTGTGCAAATTTGTGACTTGGCCATCCAAGTATTAAAGTGGGAAGAGAGTATTGAACAGTCCTTAAGGAGGCTTAGCACAAGTGATTTGAACAGCATGAACATTGTGATGGATCCCTGGATGTGACTGTATTTTAATCCATTCTATCATTTTTCTAGCTGACACAATATTTGTTTCATTATGCTTCCTAAAAGTCAGATCGTCAGAATTCATCATTCCCAGATCCTTTACATGCTGCTTTCCTACTATGGGTAGGTCTGATTGTGTCTTGTTTCAAGTATTTCATTGAAGGTTTTAATTTTATCTATCCCGAAGTAAATGGAATTCATCACTGGTAAACATTGCGTTATTGTTTGCTGCCCAATCGAAAATATTATTAATATTAGCATGATTTTTTTCAGAGTTTTCAACACAAGAAATTTTCATGCTGAATTTTGTGTCATCAGCAAAATATGACATGAAGCTGGCATTTGCATTTTTGTCTATAAATATATATTTATTTATTTATTATTATTTATAGAAGGTACGATGGGTTTATGTACCCAAGAAGGTACGATGGGTTTATGAGAGTACTAGCAGTACCCAGCCACAGCAACCTTCCATGTCCCCCAGTCCTCCCCACCATTGCCTCCCAACCATTCCCCACTCCACCATCCCCTCTTCCTTCCCACTATGTCCCACTTCCCTGCCCCTTTGTCCTCCCCACCATTCTCCATTCCCCTCATCTCCTCGTCTCCACCATCCCAAACTTCCCCGTCCCCTCGTTATCCCCACCATTGGACTCCCTTGCCCGATGCCTTCCCAAATTCAGTCTGGCACGTTAAGTGCCAGACTAGATTAAATAGTTTTAAACTGAAATAAACTGAGGGAGCAGCCACAAGGGTTCAAAAACAACTAGGACCCTTATCCAATAGGTAATTGATCTTCTCAAGTGCTTAATGCAATGATAAGGGTCGCTCACAAGTTCTCACACCAAATTTAATTTTATATGTGTGGCTATGGATCAGGTTCGAATCCAGAAGCAGGCCTTCATTAAAGTTTGCAAGAACAGTTCAATATGTTGCAACATGTGTGGGACAATAATATTGGAAGGTATTGACATAAAGACACTATTCTTTTGCCAAAAAAAAACATTTATTCATAAAGAACTAAATCCAATACAAAGCACAACAATCTTGACGTTACATTAATGTTCTTCCATGACACTTAACCATTGTGCTGCGCCAACCAACAAAACTCTGTCAGTGGGAAACAGCGCCAACCGAGAAAACACCTTTTTAACATTTCGTACCCATTCAAAATGCGTGCGTGGTAGATTGTGCAGGAAATGGACAATTGGGACCTCCAGTGAGAGGCAGCCATCTTGGAAAAAAAATCCCAGAATGTCCTTGGGCTGCTGGCTGCGTATGTACTGAGTGAACAACCATGGTTGGCGCACGCGCCTCTGGCTCCCAAACACCTGTTCGACTTGGTGTTGAAAAATCGCGCTCTGTCGGTGAAATTCAGACCTTATTGTCTGAAGAACATATGGGTCATGATATTTATGAAGCTTGGCACAATAAGGACCTAACACAAAGATCGGATGCAAGTGATACAGCACTGATGAGGACGATATATCGAGCGTATTCTGTTGTAGCTCTGAGAGCCACCCTGGCCAACCCATGCCATCTCCAATTTGTATAAATGTACATAGATGAATCGTTTTCTGGGTTCTAGTGATGATGCATCTGATACAAGTAGCATAGATGAACAGCGTTAGCAGCTTCCATGGTGGTGTTTTCCATAGATATTTTCTAGAATAACCGAATCTCCTCCGGAATGACTGAGTCTCTTCCAGAATACCTGAATCTCTTCCAGTGAGGCACCTTACAAAGCAATCTTTCCAAGACTTCCTTACAAATTGACCTTTTCCTATAATCTTTTCAATACTATCTTATGCTTTGCAAGCTTGGCTACATACAACCTACATGTACTAAAGCCAAGGGTGTACGCGAGTGCTTTATTTTCAAGCACACAGAACGAAGAATCAGGAAGCGAAAATCTATCTGTACCTGGTGCAACGAGAGTGAAGTCGCGCTGTGTACCAGGGACTACTTCGTTGATTATGACTCACTTCCGAAGTACTGAGTGAGTAATACAGTGTGTTACTGTGTAAATAGTGTGTGAAACTGTACATATTGAAATTTTGGTGAATTTTTAACACATAATATTGCGACAATAAACATTTATTTTGGACACATTACTGACACATGTATCACAGTTCCATGGAACATTATGAACGTTCTACGGTACACATATTGTAAAGGAAACAAATATTCATCATATATGATAAAACAAAACAAATAAAACTGCATTGGAAATACATTGAACAAATAATTGAAAATATATATGTTGCACTTCGCAGTATTGAATGACCCATGTGACCGTCTCCTGAACTTCACCCACAAGCGACCAGCCCATGACGCCCCCTTCTCCACGTCCCCACAGCCAAAGTAAGTGGATTTTTTTATATTTTTTTACATGTACGTGTTCAGGAAAGGGATTTTATCGCTTTACCAAAAAGAAAAGGCAAACACTTGATCTTATGCACACGGGGAATGTCACGATGAACTCGGCGAATCACAGTGGTTAAAGACAGCTAACCAGACAGCAAGATTAGCAAGAGTCCATCTCCTTTGCCACTCTTAGAATGGCAACAGATTCTAATCTGTGCCACTTTAGGCTAATATAATGAAAAACTGAACTACAGAACTACTGAAGTACTTCGTAATTAAATATGTTAATTTACTGTCAACTGGAAGGTCAACAGCAAAGGTAATCTACGTTAATCACAATCTTGTATCTCAGACAATCAAATATATCAAAACAATAATTCGCTATCATAACTACTCAGTCACTCTGACCAATTAAACACTCAGTGAGTAATTGCACTAATTGCTGTGAAACGGATATATAATTAATCGAGAACGAATTACGTTACCACAACACTCACTCACGACAGCTTGCCAAACAAAACTATGTCACTTCACTTTATGACATTAATTACCCTTAATTACTTCTCACTGAATCCTAAATTACCAACTAAAGATCACATGAAGTCCTTATCACGCAGACAAGCAAAACACAGCAACATGTTGCTTCACTACTCAGTGCTAATCTATCACACTGCACAACAAATTACAACACAACACAATCGTAATTAATAATCATACGAATATTAATCAATAAACACAGTAATTTCTTACACAGGGTATGACAACAGATAACCCCTTACCTCTCTTGAATCACTGGTTTTTCTTGGATTTAGAAAACACATTCATGGAATTCTCTACACAGATTGGTATAATATTGAACTGAAAAAATCACTAACATAATTGTACCTCTGAATATAACTGAGTTCCCTGGTATATTACATACACAACATTAACTACCTTATCACAGTAGTTCCCTCCAATGTACTGTGGTCGCTCTTTACTGGTGCGTCTTCCTCGACTATGCTTCCTTCACCTAACTAGGTGCTCTAGGAAAACGTTCTACCGGAAGTTGACTTAACATCAACCAAAGAAACTTCAGCACCAAATACAGAAATATGAGTAATCACTTAGACCGGCCTTCTCAAGCACACTTCTCCCATACATACTGACACTTGTTACGGTGCCCTCTCCTATCTCTTTCGTTTGCCTGCTTTAAGAGTCATATCAGCTCTCCCTACTGATTCTCTGAGGTTCAGGGAGTCTATTGATATATGTGGCGACCAGACCGGCTGCCAGTTAAGGGAAAAAGTTACATTATAAGTTGTAAGTAAGGGGAAATTGACGCCCTGATATAAAATGAAAGAGTATCCTTTAATGCAGATATGACGTTTTGGAAGGGACACTAGCCGATCGAGGATTGGCCGACTTAGGTCGCGGGCGACCAATCAGGACCCGCCATGACGTCACCGAGTGCCCCGGGCGGCGCCAACATCAGAGTTGACCTGACCGTGAAGGCGAGAGGACGCACCTCGGTCAGCTCTCAAGGATTTGAAGCTCTACAAGCCTTTCTTAGTGGATTAGAGCTGGCTATCGCTGCCCATCTTACGTATTGGAGACCCCGCGCTTCTGGGAAGCAAAAAGGAACCAAGTTTATTGAGCAAAAGAGTGCCAAACTTGGAAAATATTCGGCGACGACGCTGGGCGGCGACGCTGGACGTTGAGGGCCTGAAAAGGTGTGGCGGGCAAGCCTAGCTGTGACCGGGTCACATCCACTGAGGGTTTTGGAAGGGCGACACCGTGCCTAGGACAAGGAGCAACGCCTTGTGGAAGGGGCGAGTGTGGGAAAATAGTGATTAGCTCAGTGCCCATCGATGAACCAGGACTGGGGTAGCTGAATCTCAGGGATTGGAACGGCGACGACGCGAAGGCTCCACGACACCTGAGGACCTGTGGAACGTTCCTGGATCGTCAAGGATCGACTCAGGAAGCGTGGGAACCTCACACCATCGAGGGACAGGCGTCGTGAGCCAGGAATGTAAGGTAGATCATTTTCCCTTCCATTACCCCTTTTGTGAGTAGGCTAGTTAGGCCACAATATTTACTTATGTATGTGGCAATAGGACATTAATACTTTAGTAGTAGAATAGGCTGCAAGGACGCTTGTGTCCAGGACTGTCAGAGGGGACATAGTATATGGATGGCAGGATAGTGAAGAAGAGGCGCTGACATGGTGAAGAGGCCCTTCTGTGAGAGAGTGTGGGACTCCTGTCTTTCGGCCCAGTTGAAGGGGTTGGAGGTCGTGGAAGAAGAGGCTGACGATCTCCAGACTTATTATCCTTATTTTCATATTCATGTATTACTTGTGATTGTATGTGTGATCATGTAATTTGCGTCAGTAAATTCACACATTTTATCATTGTGTTTAAGTGTGCCTCCATTTATAATATTTCTCTATGAGCATACCCGAAGGTTATTATAGTACCACCTAGGGAACACTATGTTCTCTATAGAAGTTCTTATTGCCTGGAGAGTGGTAAAAGCAGCACAGACCTATATAAAAGTGTACCCTTAGCCATCCGATCAGTATCAGTGCCTGAATGGTGGCAACTAGTAACGTGGTGGCTAGAGAAAGGTAAAGCCACACAGACCTTCCTGGGAGAGTACCCGGGGCCGACAATCTAGTAGAAGATCTATGGGAGTAGCAATCTTCTGGCTACAAACAATATATAATACACCCACTGAACTGCATTGCTGGGGTGCAGATATAATAACCCAGCTGGCGACCTTGTTAAGACGAAGATAGAGAAGACAGGTGGGAAAGGACTTCCTGCAACCTTTTTGTCTGGCAGGCAAGACTCAGGGAGGTTATTGTTATAAGGTAAGCCTGAGTCTTCCTTCACTCTTCCACGGGTCTAGGCCGGAACTGTTAACAGCAGTTTCCCCGTGTTTGACTGAAGGGTTTCTAGGGTGAATCAGTGCCCCCCCCCCCTTCCTTTTGTGGTGGAAGCAAAGACCTGCAGAGGTGGGCATTGTTGGTCCTCTCCTGTGTGACCAAGGAGACTCCGGTGAATCCCGGAAGTCGGAGGGGCTGATTATTCGGCCTTTTGAGCCCCTAGCAGCCGAGTGCTAGCAGAGCCCCGGCCCACCCCCCCGTGACACACTGAATACGGCAATTGACTGAAATTCATCCAAACTTCCTCCTCACGTTGTTATAGGAGACCATGTGTAGTGTGACCCGGTGTTGAAACGGGGTGCTGATCAGGTTACCTTACCTTGAGGTTACCTTGAGATGGTTTCGGGGCTTAGAGTATCTGCGGCCCGGTCCTCGACCAGGCCTCCTCAGCACAATGTTTGCTGTTAGGACACAGCCACATGTGATGACGAGTCTGACGCAGCACAGTGTGGCGCGGCAAGGCCAACTGTGCAGGTTCCCTCAAATGACAAGACTCGCGAGGGATGGCTCCCCACACATGAGAGCATTATTTTATCATTCAAACGATAGTGAGCTGCCCCTCAGGTCTTGTGAGGAAGAGAGAGTTAGCACACATGGTGCACCGTGTGGCGCTTTACTCTGATGGCAACCTTGTGTTCAAGTTACACGGGGTGGTCCAACGGATTGGGCGGGAATTTCTATGTCCCCCAGAACTGGCTGAAGTCAAACTATTTCCCTAAGTAACGTATTCGCAGCTACTGGGCACAGTCTCTGATCCCTTCAGATTACTGCGTGTCACACTAGGTTGACAGATGGTCACAATATGAGCAGATGCACTATAAAGAAGTCTACCTTACACTGTGTGTGACCTCGTGGTGAGTTACAGTATATATTCTGCTTCCTTTCACTATTAAATTATCGTAATTCCTATCGCCGCAATCCCAGATTCTGCTTGATGAACCCGCAATGACAGAACAATGATAAGTGAGTTACTAACTGTCCCCCTAGAGTCTAGGGGGACAGTTAGTAATGTAAAATAAAGAAAACCCTCTAATTTTAATAAAAGAAAAAAAATCCTCTGAAGATTTTTATTATGTTCATTGTCTCGTCACGCTTACCTCAAACATTGGCTTATTAAACTTATTGATTGGTATTAGAATAAACGTACGTATACTTTACAACAAAGTTTGTGTGTGCTATAATATTAACAGGAAATAAATAATTCTTTAAATACTCGCATTTCAGCAGAAGTAGGCTAATTTATTTCTCGTCACTGCACTTCACAACGACAACACAATCCGTTATCATTGCTATTCATTGGAGTTACTCATTATATACTATTTTGACTTACTTTTGATCTTCCTTCTCTTCCTTGCATATCAATATATTACTTATTTTAATTTCATGCCCTTTACAGATTGAACAGAATGTCACCACCACCAGCTAAGAAACGATGTCAGTCAAATGAAGAGGATTTTAGAGAATTTAAGGAATACTGGACTGAAAAGTTTGGCATGATTAAGAAGGATGATAAAGCTTTATGCATTTTCTGTTCTGACACAGTTGTTTGTAGAACTTCTTCTGTAAAGAGACATTTTGAAAATGTTCATAAGAACTTAAGCAATAAAACTGAGGAGGAACAAAGAGAATTAATTTCTCGTGAACTGAGCAAGACAAAAACACAAGCTGAAACTTTTATGAATTATATTTCAGGTAGGCCCAGTTCCAACTTAGTTGCTGCTAGTTTTGAAGTTTCAAAAGTTATTGCCCAACACGGAAAGCCTCTCTGTGATGGGGAGTATATTAAAGAAGCTTGGCTAGAGTGTGCACCTTTTCTTTTTGACAACTTTTCAGAAAAGAAAAAGATTATTCAGCGCATTAAAGGCCTTTAAATAAAAGACAATTTCAAACTCTACTAGATGAGGTAGAATCTGTGTATAAAGGACTGAAAATGTACAACCATGTTCGTTGGCTTAGCAGAGGCTTGGTTCTGAAACGATTTATTGAATGCTTAGATGAGATAAGCTCTATTTGAACGACCAACAAGTGTCATACCAGGAATTTTCTGACATCGTGAGGGTTTGTAAACTGATGTTTTTTGCAGATTTTTGTGAACATTTAAATGAATTGAATATTAAGTTACAGGGCTCTGGTAAGACACTTGATGTTATGTTTTGTTACATAAAAGCTTTTGAAATGAAGCTAAAAGTTTTTAAGAGGGATGTAGATAATGAGAGATTTAGATACTTTCCAAACCTAAAGAGGTACATCAGTGATCTAAAAGATGACAGAACAGACCACAAATGTCTTCAAAAGCTGTTTGTAAACATTATCGAGTCAACAGTTTGGCAGTTCTCTACAAGATTTGCCAAATTCAGAGAACTGGAAGACACAGTAAAGTTCATCAAGTTTCCAGACAGCATCAAAATGGATGAACTAAACTTGCAAATGTTTTCATGGATAGAACAAAGAGAAATGCGGAAAAATAAGTATTAAGGACTTGGAATACTATTCCAGAAAATTATGTCTGTTTAAAAAACCTTGCAACAGCATTGCTAACCATGTTTTCGTCTACATATGCTTGCGAATCTTTGTTCTCAATTATGAACTTTGTTAAGTCTCGTAACAGGAGTAGCATGACAGATGAAACTAGCGCTGCATGCATATCTCTCAATGTTACTAAATATAAACCCGATGTAAAATCTCTGTCATCAGTTATGCAGCAGCAGAAGTCTCACTGACAGTATATAAAAGGAGTCAACAAGTTTTTTATCTGTTGTATTCTATTAAAGTCACAAAAGCTTAAAGGCTGTTGAAATGTACTTATGAAGGTTAAATAATTTTTTTTTGTTTTTTTTATACTATGTTTTACTGCACTGAGGAAATTTATTATTTTTTCGTTTAAAAAGTTCTTAAGATACCAAATATGTTCTAAAAAATAAATGGTTGGCACGTGGAAAAAGTTTGTTAGAGACTTGGCTGATTTTGGCACGCACTCTCAAAAAGGTTGCCCACCCATGCCCTAGACAGTATTTCTCGTCGTTTGGTCGAACCACGAGAAAACATATCTGACAAACACAGCAACACGGGGCTGAATGTCTACCCAGGGCAGGGCAGGAGTGGGCCAGGCTTTTTCCCTCTGTTCTACTAGTTGACCAATCAGCAGCTAGGCCTATGGATGCAATGAGGTGCCCCACGAATCACAAGGCTACCTTCAGTCACGTGGTGCCTTGTGACGTTAGTACTGGGAGGCCTGGTGTTTACACAAGCGACTAGAACAGTTGGTTCTACTACCACCACCAATACCTGTTTCTCCTATGTCTTTCTTGTCTTCTTCCTATGTCTCCTATCTCCTATACCTGGCCTTCATAGTCTTACTGAACAGTCCTGGGTCAATGTTTTTCATATACATCAAACAAGAGATGTCTATGAAGAACTGCAGTATCTAGAGTGAGTGCACTTTGGTGCACTCGTGTCAGAGTGCAACCTGACGGTTTGCGCTCCAACACATAGTCTAAAAGCTAGCTGGTAATCCCTCCTCCCCACAGTACACAACTTACCTACATGTCACTAAGACATCCATAAGGTAAACTTTCCTACGTGTCAGTAAGATATCCATAAGGTGTACAAGTTATCTACGTGTCACTAAGACTCCATAAGGTACACAACTTATCTATGAATCACTAAGACTCCATAAGGTACACAACTTATCTATGAATCACTAAGACCCCATAAGGTACACAACTTACCTATGAATCACTAAGACTCCAAAAGGTACACAACTTACCTATGAATCACTAAGACTCTATATGGTACACAACTTACCTATGAATCACTAAGACTCCATAAGGTACGCAACTTACATATGAATCACTAAGACTCCATAAGGTACACAACTTACCTATGAATCACTAAGACTCCATAAGGTACGCAACTTACATATGAATCACTAAGACTCCATAAGGTACACAACTTACCTATGAATCACTAAGACTCCATAAGGTACACAACTTACCTATGAATCACTAAGACTCCATAAGGTACACAACTTACCGATGAATCACTAAGACTCCATATGGTTGCAGTACTGAAACTTGGAACAAGTGCAGCCCTTTTTATATACAATTAGTCAAAAAATTGTGGTTGACATTGAACAACTTTCATTTTATATTTTATTGGCCCCTTATTATAAGGTACACGACTTATCTATGTATCACTAAGACTCCGTAAGGTACACAACTTACCTACGTGTCACTAAGACATCCATAAGGTACATAACTTACCTACGTGTCACTAAGACATCCGCAAGGTACACAACTTACCTACGTGTCACTAAGACATCCGCAAGGTACACAACTTACCTACGTGTCACTAAGACATCCATAAGGTGTTCAACTTACCTACATGTCACTAAGATATTCGTAAAGTACACAACTTTAGCATATCATAAAGACTCCACAAAGTTCTTATGTAAATATAATTCCCCTGTGTCACTAAGACACTGTTACTGGACTAGATGGTGACAACCTAACAGAAATGTGTTACTGTTAAATACACACCCAACAGTCACTGTCAATGACGTGACACGCCTTGAAGTATCATATAATATCCCTCCTACCCGAGTTGACAGCTTAACTCTTCCACAATACACAATTGATCCAGACACAGACAGCTCGTTGCCAGGTATACTCTGGTTGATCCAAAATTGGGTTCTTATTACTATTCACCTAAACATATAGTTCCAGATTACATTATATAACAGGATCCTCTACTCACAATATTTACTCCTTCAACTGTTCTCAGTTATACATACACCCCGACGATGGTGGTGGCCCCAGGCAGTGTCGCCTGCGGTGACCCCAGGCAGTGTCGCCTGCGGTGACCCCAGGCAGTGTCGCCTGTGGTGACCCCAGGCAGTGCCGCCTGTGGTGACCCTAGGCAGTGCCGCCTGTGGTGACCCCAGGCAGTGCCGCCTGTGGTGACCCCAGGAAGTGCCGCCTGTGGTTGACCCCAGGCAGTGCCGCCTGTGGCTGACCCCAGGCAGTGTCGCCTGTGGTGACCCCAGGCAGTGCCGCCTGTGGTGACCCCAGGCAGTGCCGCCTGTGGTGACCCCAGGCAGTGCCGCATGTGGCTGACCCCAGGCAGTGTCGCCTGTGGTGACCCCAGGCAATGCCGCCTATGGTGACCCCAGGCAGTGCCACCTGTGGTGACCCCAGGCAATGCCGCCTGTGGCTGACCCCAGGCAGTGCCGCCTGTGGTGACCCCAGGCAGTGCCGCCTGTGGTGACCCCAGGCAGTGCCGCCTGTGGCTGACCCCAGGCAGTGTCGCCTGTTGTAACTCCAGGCAGAGCCGCCTGTGGCGGACACCCAGGGAGTGCCGCCTGGAGTGACCCAAGGCAGTGGTGGCCACAGGCAGTGCCGCCTGTGGTGACCCCAGGCAGTGCAGCCTGTGGTGACCCCAGGCAGTGCCGCCTGTGGTGACCACAGGGAGTGCCGCCTGTTGTGACTCCAGGCAGTGCCGCCTGTGGTGGCCCAAGGCAGTGTCGCCTGTGGTGACCACAAACAGTGCCGCCTGTGGTGACCACAAGCAGTGCCGCCTGTGGTGACCACAGGCAGTGCCGCCTGTGGTGGCCCAAGGCAGTGCCGCCTGTGGTGACACAGGCAGTGCCGCCTGTGCTGGCCCAAGGCAGTGCAGTCTGTGGTGGACCCAGGCAGTGCCGCCTGTTGAGACCCAAGGCAGTGCCGCTTGTGGGTGACCCTAGGCAGTGCCGCCTGTGGTGGACCCAGGCAGTGCCGCTTGTGGGTGACCCTAGGCAGTGCCGCCTGTGGTGACCCCAGGCAGTAACACCTGTGGCTGACCCCAAGCAGTGCCACCTGTGGTGACCCCAGGCAGTGCCGCCTGTGGTGACCCCAGGCAGTGCCGCCTGTGGGGACCCCATCCAGTGCCGCCTGTGGTGGAACCAGGTCGTGCCGCCTGTGGTGACCCCACGCAGTGCCGCCTGTGGTGACCCCACGCAGTGCCGCCTGTGGCTGACCCCAGGCAGTGCCGCCTGTGGCGGACCCCCAGGAAGTGCCGCCTGTGGTGACCCCAGGCAGTGCCGCCTGTGGCAGACCCCCAGGAAGTGCCGCCTGTGGTGGCCCCAGGCAGTGCCGACTGTGGTGACCACAAGCAGTACCGCCTGTGGTGGCCCAAGGCAGTGCCGCCTGTGGTGGCCCCAGACAGTGCCGCCTGTGGTGACCACAAGCAGTGCCGCCTGTGGTGACCACAAGCAGTGCCGCCTGTGGTGGCCCAAGGCAGTGCCGCCTGTGGTGGCCCCAGACAGTGCCGCCTGTGGTGGCCCAAGGCAGTGCCGACTGTGGTGACCTTAGGAAGTGCCGCCTGTGGTGACCAGAAGCAGTGCCGCCTGTTGTGACTCCAGGCAGTGCCGCCTGTGGTGACCACAGGCAGTGCCGCCTGTGGTAACCCCGTGCAGTGCCGCCTGTTGTGACTCCAGGCAGTGCCACCTGTAGTGACCCCAGGCAGTGCCGCCTGTGGTGACCCCAGGCAGTGCCGCCTGTTGTGACCCCAAGCAGTACCGCCTGTGGTGACCCCACGCAGTGCCGCCTGTGGCTGACCCCAGGAAGTGCCGCCTGTGGTGACCCCACGCAGTGCCGCCTGTGGTGACCCCAGGCAGTGCCGCCTGTGGTGACCACAAGCAGTGCCGCCTGTTGTGACCCCAGGCAGTGCCGCCTGTGGCGGACCCCCAGGAAGTGCTGCCTGTGGTGTCCCCAGGCAGTGCCGCCTGTGGTGACCCCAGGCAGTGCCGCCTGTGGTGACCCCATCCAGTGCCGCCTGTGGTGGCACCAGGTAGTGCCGCCTGTGGTGACCCCACGTAGTGCCGCCTGTGGTGACC